AATCCAAGGGTCAAAAAAGAAATCATAAAGGAAATAAGAAAATATTCTGATTTGAATAACAATGAAAAGATAAAATCTGTGGGAATCACCTAAAGCAGTACATGAAGGGAAATGTGTAGTTTTAATGTCTTTAGTAAAAAGGGTTAAAAATCAATTTATCTAAGCTTCAAAAAAGTCATAAAAGAAGGGCAAATTAAAACCAAAATAGAGGGACTTCCCTGGTGGTCCAGCAGTTAAGAATCCCTGCTCCCAATACAGGGAGCATGGGTTCAATCCCTGGTTAGATCCTGCATGCTGCAACTAAAGATCCCACACGCTGCAAAGATCCTGCGTGCTGCAACTAAGGCCCAGTGCAGCCAAATAAATAAATGAATAAATGTTAGAAAACAAAATCAAAATAGAAAGGAATAATACAGATGAGAGCATAGGGCAATAAAAATAAATGGGTAAAATTAACAAAGCCAAAAGTTGATTCTTTGAAAATATTAATAGACTTGATTAAACCCCTAGCAAGATTGGTCAGGTAAAAAGTCTAGAAAAAAAGCTACCAATAAGCAAAAACAATACACATCCTATAGTCACTATAAGGATAATCAAAGAATATTCTGGACTTTATGTCAAAAATATTGGAAATTACATGAAATGGACAAATTCCTTAAAAGATACAACTTACCAAATTTCATAAAAGAAACAGAAAATGTGAATAATCCTGTGTCTGTTTCAGAAATTGAATTTGTGATCCACAATATTCCCCCCCTGCAAAAAAAACACCCCCCAAACCCCTCTAACTAGGTCCAGATGACATGCATTCGTCAAAACATTAAAAGAAAAAATAATAACCTCATAAACTCTTCCAAAAAAGGGGAGGAGGGAACACTTCCCAAATTGTTTTGTGAGGCCAGCATAACCCTAATACCAAAACCTGACAGAGATGGTATAAGAAAATGAAATCACAGATCTATATCCTTCATAAGCATGGATACAAAGGCCTTTAACACAATATTAGCATATCAAACAGCAATATATAAATGGATAACAAACACATCATACCCCAGTGAAATTTATTTCAGGGATATAAAGTTGGTTTAACATTTGAAAATCAACCAAAATAGTTCACCATAGTGCCAAGCTAAAACATACAAAACCATATGCTCACCTTGAAAAATGGAGAAAAAACATTTTCAAAACTTAACACCTCATGGTTCTCACCATGTCTACTTAACATTGTACAGGAAGTTCTAGCCAGTACAATAATGCAATAACAAGAGACAAAAGGCATGAAAATTGAAAAAACGGAATCCTCAGATGACAACTGTTTACATCAAAATCAAAAGCATTCTACACAAAAGTTAAAAAAAATAGAAAAATTGAATGAATTTAGCAAGGTTGTTAAGTTACAAAGTAAAAAGCACAAAAATTAATTGCATTTATGTATAACAGTAATGAGTAATTGCAAGATAAATTAAGAAACAATTCTATTTACCACAGCACCAAAAACCTTAAACATTTTAAGAGTTTAACAAAGATTTGCCAGATGTCTATACTGAAGACTACAAAACCTTCTTGAGAAAAGACCTAAGATAAATGGAGAGATATACCATGTTCATGGATTAGAGTCAATATTAAGACGTCAGTGCTTTTAAAATTGATATATAAATTAAGAGCAATCCAAATCAAAATATCAGGATTTTTAAAAAATAAATTGATCAGCTGATTCCAAAATTTATATGGAAACGCAAAGAACCTAGGATAGACAAAACAATCTTGACAACAGAGTTGAAGGGCTTAAACTACCTGATCTCAAAGCTAGGCATAAAGCTATAGTAATTAAGACAGTGTGCTACTGGTATAAGGATAAATGAACAGAATTGGAGAGTCCAGAAATAGACCCACATTTATACAGTTAACTTTACTTTATAAATTTTTTGGCCACACTGCGTGGCTTGTGGGATCTTAGTTCCCTAACCAGGGATCAAATCAATGCCCCCTGCAGTGGGAGCATGGAGCCCTGATCACTGGACTGCCAGGGAATTCCCCAGTCAGCTAATTTTATGAATTAATGAATTCACCAAATGAATTCAATGGAGACAGAGAACATTTTCAACAAATGGAGCTAAACCAAATAGATACTCTTATGGGGGTTGGGAGGAAGGAAGATCCTCAATCCTTGCCTCACATCTTACGCATAAATGAATTTGAGATGGATCATGGACTTAAATGTAAGAGGCTGCTTTCAGAAGAAAACATAGGAAATTATCTTCATGAACTTGGGGTTGACAAGAATATTTTAGATAAGACACAAAAAAACACGTAACCATAAAGGAAAAAAAAATGGACTTCATCAAAATAAAACACTCCTGCTCCCCAAAGTCACCAGTAAGAAAATATACAGGCAGAGCACAGGCTAGGGGAAAATGCTAGTAATACATACATCTGACAAAGAACTTACTAACATCCTTATGAAAAGGATTCCAACCATTCTGTAATGAGACAAGCAACCTAATGAAAAAAAATGGCCAGAGCCTTCAATACACATTTCAGAAAAAAGAGATAAATTGTCAGTAAACATATAAAAAGGAGTTAAACATCATTTGTTTTGCAAATTAAAATCATGAGATATAATAAAACAACTGGAACTCTCATTATTGTACACAAATGCACATAAAATGGCACCTACAGTCACTTGGGAAAACTTTTGGCAGCTTCTCATAAAATTAAACATAAACCTACCTTATGGCCCAGCAATTCTACTCATTGTTTAATAAGAGAAATGAAAACACGTCCACGAAGAATGTTCATAATAACTTTATTTGTAATCACCCCAAACTGTAAATAACTCAAATGTCCATAAACCAGAGAAAGGATAAATTGTGGGATGTTCATGAAAAGGAACACTACTGAGTAGGAAAAAAACCTCCAAACTATGGATATATGCAACAACATGTATGAACCTCACAGACATTGTGAACAAAGTCAGATGCAAAAGTGAACATGTATAATTCCATTTATATGAAATTCAAGAACAGGTGAAACTGATCTATGACAATAGATAACAGAAAAAAATGGTTGCCAAGGACAGAAAGGGAGAGAAATAAATTTCCTGGACACCTTCTGAGATGATAGAAAAGTTCTCTATCTGGACTTGGATTAGGATCACACAGATGTATACAATGTCAAAAGAAATAGAACGTAATCGTAAAATCTATGCACTTCACTGTCTACAGATTTTACTTGAATACAGACCCTTTTACCTTAAAAATTAGTATTAAAAATCTGACATCAGGGCTTCTCTCGTGGTGCAGTGGTTAAGAATCTGCCTGCCAGGGCTGGGGACACGGGTTCAATCCCTGGTCCAGGAAGATCCCACATGACGCAGAGCAACTAAGCCCATGCGCCACAACTACTGAGTCTGCATGCCACAACTACTGAACCCGCATGCCTAGAGCCCGTGCTCCGCAACGAGAAGCCACTGCAATGAGAAGCCTGTGCACCGCAACGAAGAGTAGCCCCTGCTCGCTGCAACTGGAGAAAGCCTGCATGCAGCAAGGAAGACCTAACACGGCCACACACACACACACACACACACACACACACAGACACAAATCTGACATCAGATTTTTATCAGATCTGCCACTTCCAAAAACAGCTGTTCACACAGACATGTGAACTCACCTCAATTTACAACAGCTTTGTTCTTTGAGTCAGTTACTCTTCAAAATAAAACTTGAATTGTTTTCGAATTCACTAAATTTTCTAGTGAAATGCTGCTCATAAAATTTTACTTTCTTGACCTAAATTTCTTATTCATTAAGAACATGATTCAGGGACTTCCCTGGTGGCGCAGTGGTTAAGAATCTGCCTGCCAACGCAGGGACATGGGTTTCAGCCCTGGTCCGGGAAGATCCCACATGCTGCAAAGCAACTAAGCCCATGAGCCACAACTACTGAGCCTGCACTCTAGAGCCTGTGAGCCACAACTCGGAGCCCGCGTGCCACAACTACTGAAGCCTGTGTGCCTAGAGCCTGTGCTCCGCAACAAAGAGAAGCCACCGCAATTAGAAGCCCGCGCACCGCAACGAAGAGTAGCCCCTGCTCACTGCAACTAGAGAAAGCCTGTGCGCAGCAATGAAGACCCAACACAGCCAAAGGTAAATTTATATATAAAAAAGGAACATGATTCATTATGTTGTACAATAAAAGTTAAAGACCAAAGTACCCTGAAGATAGTCCAAACCCTCAACTCCTTTAAAAATAAACACAGATGCCGAGATAAACTGACTTGTCCAGGATCATGTTCTTGTTTCATTTCAGAAATAAAAATACATATATTATATACATTGTCACCCTTTGCAAATACTAACACGCAAAAACAACAGCTTACCTTTTTAATAAACGTAGATGAAATAATTACGTGGCAACTGAAGAAGCATTAAAAACAATGACTGAACATCATTAGGAGGTTAGAAGATTTTAGAAATAAATGTTATATATATTTTAAATGTTATATTTTAAAGCACATTTTTATTTTTAAAAACTTTAATTTTTAAATTTTTTGGCCGTGCCACGCAACATGTGGGATCTTAGTTCCCCGATCAGGGATTGAACCCTGAATTGGAAGCATGGAGTCTTAACCACTGGACCGCCAAGGAAGTCCCAGAAAGCACATATTTTTTATTAAACTAAGGCATTTCCAAATTTACACTGGCTGGTTTTTCATGAATGATACATTTTCTAGTTGAAGTGTATTGGCCTTTACAGTTGGTGCATTTGAATCAGACAGCTTTTCAGGAACTGTACCGATAAGCTATAAAACTTGGGTAACAAAAGATCTGGATTTTTGAAAACTGCAGTTAGTGAAAGGCATAATGGAATTTCTGTACTCTAATGGAGGGAAAATGTAGTAAAAATTTAGCTAAAAAACCCCCCCAAAACTTGGCAGTGCTGGTTGTGATGAGCAGAGAGGCTTAAAATGCATTTAAATAATGGAAAAAGACTTTTACTTACAAAGGAAAATTTTTATTTGATAAATATAATTTCATAAACTTTAAAAAATTACTGAGAGCTGTACAATAGGTATACTACATTTACTGACAATGCAGATAATTTAGATATTAGACAGCCACAGTGTCTGAGGTCCAAAATTTTAAACTGAGTGTTGTGACAGTATTTCCAACTAATTATTCATAAAAATCTAAGTCACCATTATTACAAACATATCATTAGTTATGATCTATTTTTTGCAGGAATATCATTCAGGTTATCTCACATAAACAGCACTTTAATAATGTTCTATTTTTATGAAAATAGATGACTCATCAGGATAGAAATAAAAATGTCTCTAAAGGGGGACCAAAATTAATAAAACATGTTTTACATAACTCTTTGGTGTGTTAGTTTTATTAATGCCTGCTTGTATCATACTCCAAATTGATATTTACAGGAAAAACATAAACATGGATGATTTTCCCTTTCTGCCCAGTCCCCAATAAATTTTCAGAGCAGCATATGTTAAAAAGTTTTGGTATTAATTATAAATTTTTTAGTGGCCATGACTCCTGCCCATCAGATAGGAGTCTGAAGCTTACCACAGAAGCCCAATTTCACAATCTTAATGCAGTAGAAACGACCCTGGTCTGAGTAAGGTATTCCCTAACTGGATGATTTGCCTCTGTTTAACCTCCTACTCAGGACAGTGCCAGAGTTTGGATCAGGTCTGGGAAGCCTTTGGACCTCAGGGAGATTAAGACCCAAGGAGGAGGCTAGTTAAGAGAAATTCAAACTAAATTCTCCCCTTTTTTCTTCTCAACCTCACAGAAAGGCTGGGTAGCTATAGTTCTCCTGGCCCACATTCTACTCCTTCTGGGGTGAGCCTAATGCTTGCTAAAGCTGAGGCAGGGTGCTGAGTCACCTAAAGCAGCTGAAAGGCAATTTTGGAAACTGACTTGGTGCTTGCTGCTATCTTCAGGGCTACAGGCTTCAGGCTAGGCAAAAGCAAGCAAGTGAGGCAAATAGATTTGAGACCACTAACTAGCAGTAACACATGTAGCATCGTACCCTGGTTTTGGCAGATAAGAGTAAGTTAATTATCAACATCATACTTTCCAAAGAATTTTAAAGAAGTATGCAAGGGAGAAAATTTCTGATTACTCATTATGCAGTAATAGTTTTACAATATGAAAATTTAGCACTAGAAAACTACTGCAAGTTTGTAGACAACAGTTATTTTCTTAAATAAACAGAAGAAAACCCCTCTCTTACAAGATAATCTTCCTTTAAATGGAGTAGGTTTTGAACAACAGACTAGGAGAAGCATGTCAGCGGATGCTATTAACTTTTTTCAGATATAAAATTCCTACATAACTTCAAATACTGAACGCAGAAAATTGCACCAATCACACCTTGAGCACCATATAGGCTAGCTGACCTCATGCCTTGCTGTAGTTGGTCCGAGACTGCTTGATGGCTTTGCAGTCCTTCCCTAGTGTTAGTAGTCAGTTAAACTGATGGCAAATAAACACTGTACGGTAGATGTAATGCAGGGCTACTGAACGTCATTTTGTTATATGAACATTTTATAAGACATTCTAAGAAAAAGCAAATTCTGTATTATTCTCCACTAATACTCTACTGAATATTTTCTGCAATATTTCCTCTTCTGGAACATGAGCTGGTAAGGGTACACACTGTACATTTTATTATCCCTTTACTGTATTTGCAGGACAACTGTCTTCCTAAACTCAATCTAAGTTAAAAAAGGGCTATTTATGAAAATTAATATTTAGGCTGAAATTCATAACCTAGTATCCTTGCATTATTGAAAGAGACAAATGTTATATTAGCAAGAAAACAGTTTGCCAGTGAACAAAGGTAAAGTCTTAATTCTACCATTCTTCCCCTACCAGCCCAATTCCAGAAGTCTTATATTCATGAAATGGGAAAGGGGTGGAGGGTTGTGCAATAAACCTACAGAAAGGAATTATCATATTCTCCAGGGAAAATTTTGGCAACACCTTACTTAACCATTTCCATACAATTTTGAATGTATATGTACACAATAATATGCTTAGAGATGAGTAACAGTTCTTTAATAATCATTTCCAAGTTTTAAAACATTACTTTTTATCAAAACAAAAGACAACACTGGATCTACATGATAAACTCAGGATGAAAATCAAGTACTGAACTGCAGTGAGTTAACAGCAGTAATACACACCTGATTAATTATTTTTAGCATTTAAATTTAATGCAGCCATTACCCCATATAATTTAGCATTTTAAACTTTGCTTCATTTACATTCTATAGCCACACCTTATAATGGGACACTGGGCAGATTTCACTTCACTGTAGTAGTCTGCTGTAAGTTAGATAACATATACTAACCTAAAAATAACAGGATTCTCACCTGAAATTCTTTATTCTAAAAGCTAGCTTACTGAAAAGCAAGAGCAATTCTGAGCTAGTTACTGAAAGAGGCTCTTCTCATTTTATTGATTTAATTATCCTAATATTTTGATTTGTATAATTAAAAGTATTTGCAATATTTAAATAGTTTTCAAACTGGTTTTTTATTGATTATAGTTGAATTTACAACAGTGTCGTAAAATACTATACACAGAGCCTTCAGATAGACAAAAAAGCAAATTTAAATATATTAACCAGATTAAAGCATGCGAAAAATCCAATGATAAACACATTAAATAATAATATGCTAATGGTGTCTAATTTACCCACTATAGGTTCTTTACATTGTCACAAAAATAGTAAACATCAATTTGAAATTTGGTGAATGGACTTGATTCCTGATTTATAGGTAAGATATGATATACCCTTTGCATGTATATGGCTAACTTAACTGGTTGTGTTACAGTACATTTAGAGAAGTTTTGGTACTGGTATATATTTACTACCCATACTGCAGTAAATAATGGTTGGAAATGCATTCTCCTAATTTGCTCTGTGAACTTAGAAAGCACTAATGAATGAACAAACATGGGTCACTGAGGGACCAAATTCCTTACTATTCACATTAACTTTTCCCATGAAAAGTTTCAAATATAACTCTAATAAAAAAATAGAGTTTTCAAGGCAAACTTTTCAGCATAATTTATAGAGGCAGATTTAAACAGAAGACTCAATAACCAAGCCATACTAAAAAATACAATTAACTAGGAATTAGCTCCCTTTTCTACCTTGATGTTAAAATATTTAGTGGCCTTAGCAGAAGGCTGAAATGCCACTGGGAGTCCCGTAGGCACACGGGGACAACCCAGATAAAGAGATGAAAAATGTCTCTTTATTCATAAATTTTAACATGTTCAGATTTAAATTAAGAGGGCGGCTGACAGGGGTGCATGGCAATGCTTTTTGTTTGTTTGCCATTATAACTCTGAGTGGGTATGAACTACTCCAGAGATTTCAGAAAGTAATTCCGCAGAGGTAGTGTGGCCATTACCAGGATGATCACACTGAATTTTAGGAAAGGAGTTGAAATGGCTCCCACAAAGTACTACTGCCCCTTTAACAAGTAGACGAGTCCATTGTGGAGAGAGTCAAGATGCTCCTGTCGTTGGTATAGAAAGGATCCGATGCACTCCATGATCTAAAGTAACAATAAGAGAAAAGTTTGGCTCACCAGGACCTATGTTTCAATTGAGAAAAAATTTTACTCTAAAACTTAGGACCAAAATGCAGTTTGAGGATTAAAATAAGCACTGATTGATGCATTTTTAAATGCTAAAGATAAGTTCTTCTTACTAGCATTGAAGGACCAAACATTCTATTTATATTATACAAAAACTTGGGAAAAATAATGCTCTAGTCATCATATAAAAATATTAGCCAAAAGTCATTAGCATTAAAACAATTTCTATAGGTAGCAAAGCATGAGACACTCTTAAAATCTTAATTCAATAAGAAACAAGTTTGTTATTAAGAGGTATGCATATTTGGTTTTACTGAAAAGCAACTAGGCTGTATTGACATCACGAAAGCAAACAAACAAAAATCCCACTTACCAAAAGCTTTGGAATGAAACAGTAGTATGTTCATATTATATTATTATTTCTTTTCAGGTATAAATTCTATTCTAAAGTTTTTAGCATTAATTAGCTTTAACAAAGTAAATGTTTTAATTCAATAGGTATCAAAGACACCTTGAACGAAGTAAATGTTTTGACTCAATAGGTATCAAAGACAGCTAGAAGTCACTAGGGTTTTCACTTAACTAAGAACAAATGATCCTCTGCTGGTCTGGAAAAAGTTAACTACTGTCTGTCTGAATGATAAGGCCATAAGCAATTCATTATATAATACTTTATTTGCAGCTGTACCAATTTCAGCTAAAATAACTTAAGACTAAAAATAGCCTGCCATGCTTAAAATGGCCTAAACTATTTCAAGGACAGTATTAGGATTACCAAGTTAAAGGTGGCTTTTCTTAGAAGACTAAAAGCACTTAATAAATACATTTTATGTAACTTTTTCCAGGGTTCCCACTTTCCTTAAATAGAGAAGTCAGAGAAAGAGATTAGCACTTAAAATGGCCCAAATTCACTTTTATAAAAAATCTGCTGTTTCCTAGAGACTAAAGTTTGTATGTAGTTCAATTTTAAACCGATTAAGTGAGCACAGTCACAATGAAGATTGGAACCTAGAAACTTTACAAAGTTGGTAAAGAGGAAGACAAACAAGCAACAACCATACCAGTGGTTTACAGGTTCTCTAATTTTACTAGTTTCCAGAAAACTTAAACAGCATCTACCTTCGTTTAAGAAGGGCTTGCTCACTACGGTCTCTCTAGCACCTAGAACTGTGCTATAGTAGGTACTCAGTATTTGTAAAATAAATGAATGGGGTAAGACTATGAACATTTCTTAGAGTAAGTATTTATGCAAGAAAAAGTATGCTCAGACACACATGACAAAACGTAACTATAAACAATACTCCCAAACTGCCAATATTTTAGTTTTTCCTCTTTTCCAACCATTGCTTACACAGAAGAATCTTATTAGGTAAGGTTTCCTTCATTTTTGATCTTTTCAAAGCACACATGTGCATTCATATTGTTAAATATCATATTTGACAGAACATTAAACACCTGAACTACATATTAACTATTAACTCCTTTCTACTTAAAAGACAGTTTTGATTAGGATAAAGTAACTGTTGGTAAATTACATACAGAAAAGCATTTATTGCTGAAGTACAGCCCTTTAGAGTACAACATGGCATATCCTTTATATAGCACCATGATGCTATCTTTGAAACAGAGCTTGCAATATGGCATATTCCTTTGACAACATCAATTAGTAAAATGTAAGTAGAATTTTTGTGCCTGGATGGTAAAACTTTATTAGTAAAGAAATCTGTCACATGAAAGCACTAATTGTATTTCTCAAGAGATGACCATTACCTCTTATGTTTAATTAATGTTAATGGAACAAATATCCAAAGGATTTTACATCTTGTAAATAGAGGTATCAGTCTTGCCCTACCTTTTAAATTAGACATGAGAGAAATGTAGAATAGACGCTATTCCAAAAGCAAAACAGAATGCCAAATATATTTCACTAAAACAATTACAAGTAAAAAACAAAAACAAATGACTTTTCAAAGTTTAAATATAATGTTAATGGATCCATGGCAATATTCATATAGCCCTTAGAAAAGCACCAAGTAGTTTTGAATATTGTATAATTTTATCCACTAAAAAAAAAAATAGAACAAATCTCAAAAGACTTTTTAGATTATTCATTTGAAGAAAACAGGGAGATAATGACAGTAGTAACCGACAGCATAACCTGAGATGCTGGACAAAATTGGAAAGGTATTTATAGTCTGTCAAATAAGATATTCATTACTGTTAAACATTTTATTAGGAAAAAAAACTCTTAAAAAAGAAAAAAGTGAGATACAATTTTAAGGGGAAAGAAGTACAGATAAGAAGAGACACCTTCAACAGAACATGCAGAAATAAATCCCATAATTCCTTGGGCAGGTTCAAAAGGGATAATGCAGCATAAAAATGGTTATGTAAAGAATAATGGGGTGCATCACCTAAATAGTTGATATCCAGAAAATGGGAATATATATAAAGCAGAAAAATATTCTGGGATCATTTAAAATTAATTCTAGTCTTTTTTTTAGTAGTTAGTGAAGATGTATATTGTCTTTAAAGAGAATTTCGTGTTGAAAAAGATGTTCTAAAAATTCTATACAAGTTCTAGAGTAGTCTCTTAGTCTAATTCCCACCTTAGTTCTGTGCAGTAAAGCTGTCTTATATTATACATTAGGTCTTTCTGGAACTTCCTTTGGGACACTTGTTGGCCTGGGTACATGACAGAACTACTTTCTTATAATGCATTTCATAATACAATTGTGTAAGTCATAACATACAAGTCCCAATAAATTTAGGTGCTCATAGTAATTCTTACATGTGGAATAAAATACCTACAAAATAATATCACAGCATTATGGAAATATTTTTGATCACATTATAATCAACAAATGGGGACTGAAACCACAGACATTGTTATTAACATAAGAATGCTCTTTATAAATGCAACTGTACCATAAAGAAATGGTCACAACTAAAGGCAAAGTGGGAACTAACAAGTTCACCAGTAAAAGTTCCCTAAATTGTGATACAAGAATGATGTCATACTCATCATTTTTAAAACATAAAGCCAACCAAATATTAAAAATTCTTTTATCAACAGATAAGGGTAGTGCCTCCTCTGCCCTTTATTCCCTGCTCCTGGGGTCTTTCCAACCTTTTCCCAGGCGTGGCACATGTAGAAAGTGATACTATTCATGTGGCACGCTGTGGACAATGGAAATCACCATCCATTCTTGCCCATCCATAACCCTTCATGAACACTAGTGCACTGCTGCTCTGACTTTGAGACTTTGATATCATTCACCTAAAGAATACCAAAGTGTGGAAAAAATTATTTCTATTCCTTACTATTCCCTAAATAATAACATGTCTCTTGGGGAAATGTATAAAGAATTGAATCAATTTCACTTTTAAATAATTTAAGTGGTATATACCAAAAAATGGTATTTTTGTTATGATCCAAAAGAGCAAATCTAATTCAAGAAACACTTGGGAGGAGACAAAAACACTAAAATTCTTCTAAACCATAATTTAAAGAGCCTGTTCTAACTTACAAACTTTTAACTAGACCATAAATACTGAGTAAAAACTTAAAAATCACAACTTATTTTAAAACCTCATTACACACATAAAAAGGTGTAGGAGAGCAGAATTTCAGCCTTTTATGTTTATAAATACCTCAAAGTCTCAAATGAGTGACTAGACAATATACATGAAGAATAAGAAAGACAAAATCTTTTGACTTTACTATTATGTGTAGATTATTTTGTAAATACAAAAAGCAAACATACAAGCAAAACAAATACAGGAAATACTTTAGGTATAATAAAAAAAGAAAGTTATAAAAATAAAACGAGTACCAGATACACACTCCTATTCACCACATTTGAGAAAGACTGTAAAGCAAGATTTTTTGTTCATTAGATGAAAAGTCTCTTCAAAGGTGCTTTCTGTTCCTTTGTTAGTGAAAGAACCCCCTACACCCTAAAGCCACAAAGTGAAATACCATCAAAGAGTGCTAATAAACAGCATACTTCCTGCTTCAGTTGGTAAAACCAGGGGCTCATTTATTAGGTATCTAGAGATGCAGGTTCATCCTGTTCCAGTTTATAGGATACTCATCTGCAGCAAAGGCTACTTAGAGAAATTTCACACCTGCTGACATGGGACGGACTACATCTTCCTATTACTCGTTCCAGCATTCTTCCAACAGATGCGCACGCTGTTTCTCCTTCTGAGAAACAGCACATGGAGTCCAAGCACTTGATACTTGAATTTGTTTCAGTAAGCTGAAGGAGTTGAAGGAGAAAAATATTAGTTATTTATAGATTTGAAATTCCAAAAACCATTAAAAAAACTGCAACAAGCACTTTAAAACCAAAAGTAATATATACATGTTTTCTATAATATGGAAATGTATGGAGAGCTTTAATTGAGTAATCATACAAAAATATTTAAAAGGCACTGTGTCCTAAATTAGAGGCTGAGTAAAATCATTATATAAAACAAGTACCTGGATACTATATAAATCTGCAAAGATTTTGCATTTTCATATCTTAATATATTATGATTAAAATGATTTATTTACATCAACCACTCAGAGATTTAATGAATTCTCATTCTTCTTTGAGCTTTTGTTTAGGTGAAATGCTCCTGCAGCTTCAATTAAAAATATCTAGTAATTGAGAAAAAATAGAGTTTAAATTATTTTGAAGACTGGGAAATAACCAGGCAGGACCAAATCCCAATCTTCAACAATAACAACAACAACAGTAGCAAACACCTTATGTAGTGCCAGGTTCTAAACACCATATAGATATATATATGCACATCATAAATAATTCTTGAAAAAAGCATCATCTGCCTTAAATTGCTAAGCAACTATTAAGTGCTAACCATGCCCATAATAAGTTCATCTTGCTTTTAAAAAATTAACTGATGATACATTATTAAAATAAAGAAGTAACTAAATAGTACTATTTAGATTTAAAGCTGAATTAGTTTCTGTAAGCTTGCAAGGTTTATATTGATTGAGGGATAAAAAACCTGGCAAGAAAAACTTAAAGCCACAGTACTAATAATTTCAATCCTGTTAAAATAAGGGGTAAAAAATCATATGACCACATAGCCCAATGACTCCCAACCCTGGTTTTGACACAGTCAAGGGTACACCTAAATTTCTCAAGGGTTATCATTTTAAACTTATTTTTAACTCATTTTCCTTTACATATATAACATATTGCATAACAAATCTTTCAAAAGTGTAGAGGAAGGAAAACAACAAAAATAGATTCATTAGAGTGCTGCAATTCACAAAGGTTGGGAATCACCAAGTGTCGAGTGTAGGCATGGCAACAGGGAACACTTGTGGAGACACTCACAATGGACAGAGGACACAAACATGATGAAACGTAAATGACCTGGCATTCCGAACCTAAGCAACTGGTGAGGTCCTGCAAAATCCCTGCTCAGAATAATCCTGCCAAATACCAAGCAGTGCGAGACAACTTGGTTCCTGTTAGGCAATGAACTGATTGCATCAATGTCCTAGGATCTGCTAAGCACTGAGAAATAGCCAAATTTTACTTATTCCTTCATTATAATACCCTTGGGTTTAGGACTGTTTAAGATACTATTTCTTAAACTGTGTATTATCAGATATTTACAGACATTGCACGAAAAAAGTTCTGTGGCCAATTAAATTTGAGAAACACTAGTTCAAGGAATGTCTAAACAGACTTTGTGAGTAAAGGACTGTCAGTAAGTCAGGTTGTGCGGTCAGTCTCCAGGGAGAGAGCTAGACATGGTGCAATTCTCAAATTTGTTTTCTTCAGTAAACTCCCCTTCCTCCCCTCCCCAAATGGAACATTAATCAACACCAGGAGGAACATTAATATTCAGTGGAAGATCTTAGGAAATGCTGGTTTAGGTAAAAGGATTTCACCAGTTTCCCAGTTTCCTCCTTGGGTCACTGGGCTCCAGCTTCCTCCATCTCAAAGCCATCCTCTGTAGGAAGCAGGACTTCAGAGCTCCCACATGCTCAAGGATAAAGTACTACACCTCAAAGAGGCCTGTAGGGCCCTTTGTAACCTGATCTCAGGCTGCCTTTGCTGCTCTACTTCTAAATGCTCCTGTACAGTCTCTACACAGCCAACCAGGCAGTGCTCCCTGCCTGTGGGTATGTGTCAGGGCCTGTCACCAGCTGGGGGCAGACTGCTGACCCCTAACACCAAGTTCAGTTTAAATACCATCATCTCTATGAAACCTCCTCCACCTCTCCAACTATCAGTACCATCTCTTTCTCTCTAGATTCTATTCCAAATCTTGTTTGAATCATTTAAACGACAGAAGCACTTAACTTCAACTTATACTTCATTGAGCAAGGCACTGTGCTGGTTCCTAAAGGGGACAGCAACCCTGCCTTCAATCTGTTGAGTAAAGGATAAAGAAAAGGGTGGGAGATAAGCCAGGAACAAGTAATAATGGCAGTTATATTAATGGAATGCTTACTATGTATGTGCCAGTTAGTATGTAAGATGCTTCTCATGGATTATCTCATTTATAACCCCCTTTTCGGACAGGCACCAGACTCATACACATTTTACAGATGAGGAAACAGAGAAGTTAAAAATATGTTCATGCTCACCCAGCTGGGGCTTGAGTCTTGGTTTGATTCCAGGGCCCAAACCTCTTTACCATGCTGTTATACTGCCTTCTTATTATTATGGTACGAAGCAGAGTACAATATTGAAAAAGAGGAAGGAAAGCTCAAACCCAGCTGTTGCTGTTGGTATTACTGGGAGAGCATGAGAGATTTGATGAAAAAGATGGCATACTGAAGACTGGATGGGATTTCAATAGCTGGAGATGGGAGAGTAACAGCATTCCAGGCTAAGCAGAGAGAATGAGTAACTGTGTGGGCAGAAAAGTATGATGTGCATTTAGTGCATGTTTAGCCTAAGTGTAGAGAGAGTAGTTGTTACTCCCACCCCCTTGCAAAAACACCAGTGTGACTCAAAGTGTGATCTATGGATCACTGTTGGTCTGAAATCACTGTTACTAGCTCATGAGATACAAGTGAGTCTGGTCCGTGAGAGTAAGAGATTAGACAATTTTATGGCAATTTGACAGAATACTTTTGTAACTGTTGAATCTAATTTAAAAAATGGGGCTTATTTTATATATCTTTCAAATTTCATTTCCTAGTAATTCATTTTTATTGTATTTTACAAAAGTATTGGTCCGTGATGAACTGGAAATGAACAACAACAAAACAAACAAGAAAACAAACTGGTCATTCACAACATTTATCTGGGGAGCACTGAACTAGACCAGAAACTTGAAAGAGCAAGGGGTTTGGTACTTCTTAGCTTAACAACATGTGCTTTACTATTGCTGGTGCTCAACCAACTGACAGGGATTCACTAAAGATAACATCCATAAGATCAGCAGCATTTGAGTGTCCACATACATGCAGAACACTGCTTAGGTTTGGATCTGCTTTGCATTCATCACCTTTTACTTTAAAACCTAAGAACAAGTATTAAACTAAGGGCAACTCAACACAGTAAACATCTTAATATGTCAAAAATATTATACGGGCTTCCATGGTGGCGCAGTGGTTGGGAGTCCGCTTGCCGATGCAGGGGACACGGGTTTGTGCCCCGGTCCAGGAGGATCCCACATGCCGTGGAGCGGCTAGGCCCGTGAGCCATGGCCGCTGAGCCTGCGCGTCTGGAGCCTGTGCTCCGCAGCGGGAGAGGCTGCGGGGGGGGGAGGGCCCCGCACCCCCAAAAAAAAAAAAAAAAAAAAGATAAAGAAATGACTTTTTCAGATCACCTTCTGAACTAAGCAAAATATATTTCCTTTTTATTCCCTAAGGAGAAAGAAAAAACCCACCTGCTTTGAAAATGCTGGTTAACTGTGATTCTGTAAAGCTATCTATAGAAAACACTATACTGTTCTCTAGCAAACCTCCAAGCTCCATCACTTTTCCATATATACATCTTTGATCTCATATCATAGCTTCCAGTATAACCGGGGGTGGAGCATTTAGATCTCATTTCATTCAAAGTAAGGAGAGGGAGTCATTACCTTTTTTAAAGAGAGACTATTAATAAATACTAGAAAAGAAAACAAGCAAAATAACAGGAGTGAGACCCTACTTGGTGGCACTAAACAGTAACTTTTAACTTAACAGAAAGTTTGATTTATTGGTAAGACTCACTCTCCACCACATTTACTTCCCAGAAACAACCACATAACTTAGAGCTAAAAGGGCTGTGAAGCAAAACAACTATGGAGATCCAACACGGGTATGTATGGCTAATAAAAATTTTCATCTTTATAGAACTTCCCTTTTGAAATAAATTCTGGCTCACTGCTCTTATTTCCATTATTTTCACATCAATGATGGTAAACATTTAGAAGTTTCTCCTGTTACTTCTACAAAAATCTTCCTTAAATTTTCTAAGTGTTGGAAAACTGTCATACGTTTCTAAGTTTTTTAGTCACGCCTATGACATTTTACCCTATCAAATCAAATAAAGTTCTTTAAGTTTAGATAAAAATTATTTAACTATTGACCATATTTGTTCTTTTGCCCGTAAAATTGTTTTATATACTTCATAATCAAAGAACACCTTGCTTAGCCTTAAAGGAGATATTTGGAAAGAAGCCTTAAACTATAATTATGGAGGGAAGAAAAGGCATTTAAGGAAATGATTTTCTTTTAGATGTGAGATCAAAAGTCATCAAATCTTACCAATTTCCATATTTGGCTAAGAATAATAAAACCCCTAAAACAAGTTAATAGCTTCAAGTTCTTATTCAGAATTGGAAGAGGTACCTGTTTAAAGATGGTATTTAAATAACTGCTTCGCTTACTCAAGGCCTCTTTCTCCAAAACATGCTGTAAGCTCACATTTACTCCTCTGGACTCCCTTCCCTTTCTTTCTCACCAAGTAAAATAAACAATTTTGAAAGCCAATTATAAGTATAAATAAAATACCTCTATACTGACTTTTAGGGATCTCCAGAATGAAGGAGATTTCCATATGTGTTGCCTTAATTTAAGTGTAAAAATAAGCATACAATATGAATTCTATTTATTAGGTAAGCTTTTTCTTTTTTTTCTTTGCGGTACGCGGGCCTCTCACTGTTGTGGCCTCTCCCATTGTGGACCACAGGCTCCGGACGCGCAGGCTCAGCGGCCATGGCTCACGAGCCCAGCCGCTCCACGGCACGTGGGATCTTCCCGGACTGGGGCACGAAGCCGTGTACCCTGCAT